TGCAAATGAAAACAGGTGTTTTAACTTTAAAATATCTTATAATTTCTGTGTAGATGAGGGAGAAGCAGCCATTAATTTGTGGAGGAATTTGGGATAGTTTTGTATTTAAAATGCAAGAACATTGTTGCAGTAACAAGTCACTGTTTTATTGCAGAGTTTTAAGTTCAGATGTGCTTATGTAGTGGTCAGGCCACTGCAAGTAGTGGCTGACTCCTCAGGTATCAGAGAAGTTTTGTGTAGCTATCATAGAATTAAAGAATAGTTGAGGTTGAAAGACGCCTCTGGAGATCATGTAGTCCACCCCCATGCAAAAAGCAGGGTCAAGTAGAGCAGGTTGCTCAGGACTATGCAAGCCAGGTTTTGAGTATCTCCAAGGATGGAGATTTCACACCCTCTCTGAACAACCTGTTCTGGTGTTTGACCAACCTCACAGCAAAAAAGGGGTTTTTTTCCCTTGTGTTTAAGTGGAATCTCCTGTATTTCAGTTTGTGCACATTGCATATTGTCCTGTCTCTGGGCTCCCTTGAGAAGAGTCTGGCTGTTGTCTTTACTCCCCCCATCAGTTTTTTATACACATTGATAAGATCCTCCTGAGCTTTCTCTTCTCCAGGTTGAACAATCACAGCTCTCTTGGCTTCTCCTCCTATGTCAGATGCTCCAGACCCTTTATCATCTTCGTGGCCCTTTGCTGCACATCCTCCAGTATGTCCACATCTCTCTTGTCCTGGGGAGCCCAGCGCTGGGCACAGCACTCCAGGGGTGTCTCACCAGTGCTGAGCAGAGGGCTGGGTGTCCCAGCCACCTGCAGTGTGCTGACTGTCACGGACTGCCCTGGGATTAACTGCAAGTTTGGTAATTAAAGCTGTGGCTAAAATTTTCCTAGTAGATTTTTTGCGTGATGGCAGAACTAGTTCAGATTCAGGATAGGGGAAGCAACCATGGTGGCCTGAAATCCATCTACCTTTAGAATTTATTTGTTTCGGTATGGTATATGTTGCAGGCTTTTGCCATGTGGCTTTGAATCTTGCATACATCCTGAGGGTTGATTTTGCTCTGTGCTGGACTTATTTTAGTGTGCCTTTTAGTCACAGTAAAGGGAGGACTCCCTCTCCACTGACTTAGGGAGAATTACTGTCCTGGTTTCCACTAGAGTAAGTGACAGCTCTCAATAGCAGATGGAGAAGCTGTACCACATCAGTACCAACAAGACTTAGCTGCATTTCTACAGGGGCAGGTCATGTGCTCTAGGAATAGCATTGGGGAAACACGTGGATGTCTTTCTAAACAGTATGGTGACAGATCTTTGCTTAATACCCACAAAGGTTCTGCAGCTAGCACCTTTTCCTAAGGGTGTTTTCTTTCCTTTCCTGTAGTTGTTGACTTGTGTGTATTACGCTATGTCAGTATTTGGAATTAATCTTCAAAAAATGGGAGACAGGAGAAGTCTTGGAATGTGGGACTCGGCCTGCTTCATTAGAAACTGAATACGTGTGAACAGTCTCCATTTGTAAGATCATTCATCCCCAGGATTTTTTCTTTTGCTTTCCTCACTTTAAAAGGAAAAGGAAGTTCTATTTTTTCTGAGTATTTTGCATTTTTGTTTAAGAAAAAAAAATCTGAAAAGGTGACAGGCTTAAATTTACTACTTTTCTTACCTTCAGGTACAACACTGAATGCCCCAAAATGAAGGAAATGAACAAAAAATTTCATGCTATTTTACTACCTTGCAGAGTCAGGGTGAGAAACTATTTTGTGTCACTACCAGTTTGGAAAAATAAATTAGCTTGTGTGGTGCTCCATGCTGTTTCAAATTAGATTACTTGCAAAAGAATTATCTCGTTTGCAGCAGACTGGGATAGTTACTGTATTTTGCAGATTGTATTTCACAAACTAGAATTAAGTATTATTTTGCTTTTCAATTAGGAAATTAAAAGAAAAAATCATACCCTTTGTAACTGACAGTTTTCTTAGTCATGTTATGCATTGTATGCTGTATGGTACATACTAATATCAGTATATATGTCAGGCAAAAAGAAGAAATAATGCAGTAGCTTACTCCCTTAATTGTAGGAGTTCCCTGAGCATGTAACGACTTCTGTGTGATTTATTAGTGGGTTGACAAACCTTTCCATGCACCAAAACCCTTTGATTATGCCTATAGTCATAATTTGTATGGCTTGAACTCCTGGTATCATTTATCAGCTCTTCCCTCAGAATAAGTCTTAAAATATGCTGATAGAAATTGATTCTGAAGACGTAAAGCCTGGCACTTACTACTATGCAAAGTTCAAATATCCCTTTGTATGTGGGTAAATACAGGAACGTGGAAAGCTAATGCCCATTTCATTCTTGAGTACTGCACACTGGCTGTCGTAGAAGTCCTGCTTTTACTGGGAGGCCTTTTATTATTTCCCTTATGATTGGCGTGACTGTTCATCAGTGTTTTGTAAGAGAAGTCAGAAATTCTGTGCAGTGATGAAAATAGTGTCTTGTGATTTTTACTTCCATAGTCTGGCCATTTATGAAGCCTTGCTGATGCTCTGAAGAGGGTGAAGAATCTGGGTGGTCTCAAACAATTTAATACTCTTTGGGGAACTCATCTTTTGTGCCTGCAGATTCCAGTGGCTGAGGGTCTCCCTAGTATGACTTTTCTCTTGTGACTGCCTATCTCAGGGTGGCTGAGTAGGTGTTTCAGTGGGTCTGAAGGCAAAAAGGGATCAATTCCTACTTGAATCTTGGCTTAAGAGGCTTCTCTTGAGTCTGCCTAAAATTCATTTGGTTTCCCTGAGACACCGCTGTGATGCAGGGGTGAAGCTGCAGGGACTCACCCGAGTTGTCCTTGCTACCTCAGCCAGTCCTCCATCCTATGGCACAAATGGCAATAAGGTTTTCTACAAACTTTCATCACCTTAATGTAAATAGTACGCTGCTTTTGGAGCAACGCTAGACATTGAGTGTGCCATTTGAATATGCCACCAGATTTCAAGACTGCCCTCATCTCTAGCGGGCAGGTTTTTGAATCAACACTCTTGTCTGTCTAGTAAATGTTACTGCAGTTGTCATAGGGGGGGAAAAAAGGCTAGCGTGATTATCCTAGCAATTTTCTCATGAAGATAAATTTCATTTTTCACTCATTTTCTCTCCGCTGTGCTGCAATGCTAAGGAAAGCATTAGAAGATGACAGCACAAAGAAGTGTTACTGGTGCTCTGCATCATCTCTCTTATGTGGAGTTTTTAGGAGCTTGTATCTAGTTCCTTCAACATGTCATGGTATCAGCACCTCTCAGTGCTGCAGGCAAAATCTGAACTTCCTATACTGGTTGTCATATTAAACATTTGGGAGGCTATTTACAGAAAACTGTCAGAAAATAGGAAGAAAAATGTTGGCTTCATGTGAAGATTATAAAACATTTTCACTCTCATGCATAGGCATCCTCTGATAGTAAGGTACGGGATTCAGTCTCACTTTCTTTGTTGCCTTAATTGGAAGAGTATCTATTCCTGCCTGTTACTCCTAATAATTGAAATTCTATGTATCCATCATTCCCCCTTTGCAAGACTATCTGCCCCTTGCCATTTCCCATTAGTGGTGCACAGAGAGGCTGTTCAATCAATAGTAGATTGAAAAGTTTCCTATTATTTGCTTTGCTAGTGGCTTCTTATTCCACTATTTTAAGAGAATTGAGCAAGTGACCTCAGTTTGCCTCATGGCAATTAATTGTCGTAAGATGATTCGTACATTATTAGCACTAAAACAGTGATATCCTGTAATCTGTTTCCAGAGGTATATATTTAACATTGGAAGGATTCTTTTGGGTGCATGTCCTGGAGCTCTAGTGACAACATGGGACTGCTTCCAAATTCCAAGGGCTGGAGGGAGGCAAGGGGCATTAACCTGTTAGCAATAAGGGAGAAGCTGGTCTGAACTGTCAAGTAGGAAACGTCTCTGTCCATGCATAAGGGTAAGTTCTGTTGTGGTGGATATTTAGTCGGTATCATTGTTGTCGTATTTGGGACAGGACTTTCAAAGATTTTTCTTCTTAAACCAATATTGCAACTAAACTGTATGTAAGTGTGATTGTTGATTGAAATGGGAGACAACCAAACTGCAGTTGTGTGCACAGGTTGTCTGATTAACCATCATGTTCTGCAGCAGCTGTTGTTTCTGTATTTGTTACAGTTTGCTGTTACGATAGCTTTAGCTGTTACTGAACTTTGAAGAGACAGATGAGGTTCCTGACTGTTTGCACAACATAAGCATCATAATATAAATTTTGGTTTTGTAATTTTTTTTCTATTTTCATTTTAAATACAGATGGTAGGACAAAATAAAAAGGAGAGGTTTCTATTAGAAAGCAAAGGAGGTGAAATAAGTGATCCTAACAAGTACAGAGTACATGCTGTGGTTCACTTAAAATATTGTGACTGCTAAGGTTTCATTTGTGTCTCTGCCCAAGTTAATAAAATGGAAACTAGTTACAGGTATGCCTAACCATAACACAGTGTCAATGCAGAGCTATGCACTGCACCCTTCTGTCCTCTGTGTTGGGTGAAGTGCTGTATAAATAGCTTTTTGTGAACAGTATCAACTTCCCTCCCCCTAGCTTTTTTTTTCTCTTGTAGAAGTCCTAAAGTGTACCTTGAGTTTGTTAGAAAAACTGCAGATGTTTGTTCCAAAAAGTGTATTTAATGGATGATAAATTTCCTCCTTCTGTCTTCAATTTTTCCACTGCTATGTGATGAAGCAGCAGGCAATGTGGACCTGTTCTGTTATGAAGTCAGTTCTTCTACAGATGTGAAATGTTCCTCCTTTTTTTTTTTTTTTTTAAACTCACTGAAAGCCAATGTCTATTAGTTACCTGAAACAGTTTTTACAGAATGTGTCTGGTTACCAGAAGACAGCTTGAAAAAAGAGATTGCGTGTATTAAAGCTTTTTCTTGTTATAGGAAGAGTGGTAACATGATTCTGTGTATCTCTGCCCATCTTTCTGTCTTTGCAGTGTACCTCTTGTTGATTTGCTAAACAGCACGGAGTTGCCAGAAACTTGTGTTGATGATACCGTAGGCCATCCAGTTGTTGGCTTGGCAACAGGAGATTCAGAAGAGGCTGTTAGTTGCCCTCATCCTGGCACAAAGGAAACTGCTGCTGAAAAAGCAGACTGTGATCGTAAGCAAACTTACAGATTTTTCCCTATTATCATCACATGTGGGGTCAAAGTTAACTGATTAGGTTGTTATGAGGTTGTTTCCTTACAAAAATCCAGAGGTGTTTTAGAAAGCTCCGTTAGATTATATGCATAAGGACAGTTTTGCCCACCAGCAGGACAACAAAGTTGGTCAGCTCTCTCGGTTTCAGCTGGAAGCAGCTTATTTCCAAGGACAGAGGTACAAGGGAAAAGTCACAGTTCTTCATGGGATCTGACTTTAGCCACAAATACAGTGAAGTGAATTGTAACTATCTGAGCAATTAACTCTTGCTGCTTGCTTGTTCACTGTGAGGCTGGCTGGGTAAATGAAGTTGCGGGAGTGCGGAGTGTTGTGATTAGGTACATACAGTCTGTAGGCTTGAAAGTTGCGTTGAAGGTTGAGCAAGTAGCTTCCCCCGTCCCTGTGCTTTTTTCCACAACTTTAAAACCACATAATTAGAGTTCAGGAAGAATGCAAGTTACAAGTCAGATAACTCCACAGTGACATTAGGAAGATGATATCTTTTCTGTCTTTTTCAGCATTTGAAGACACGTTCTTAAAACTGAGACAGCTGGAGACAGAGTGCAGCAGCCCCGTGCCAACTGAGCGTCCCAACGTAAACATAAACGTACAGGTACTTGGGCTTCATTCCTCCTGGCAGAGTTGCTGAGTTTTGTTCAGATCATTCTGAAAAGTTTTACACTTACCTTGGGCCACTTGCAAGATTTTTAAAAATATGAGTGAGTAATATTAAAGGATAGTAAAGGAAATACAAATGCTTTGTTACATATAAATCTGTGTGTGACAGGGCAGTGAGACAGAAATGGGGGGCAGAGGTGCATGTGCACCTATGCAGGCTGCGGCCTGGTGAAATTTTCTAAAATCAATGTGAGTAAAAGGTATAAACGCTTGAAATGTTCCTCAGTTGTCTTTATCTGTAGATTACTAAGTGTACGGTGTTGTATAGTTCACCCTCTATTTTGAGGGGGTGAGCTGCTTTCCTGGTGTTTTTCAGTTGCCTTTGGTAACCATCCCAGAATGTTGTTTTGACACTCCATTTTGAGTCAAGTTTGCTGGTGATCGTCCCTCCTGTTAAGTAACCGGTTTTTACCTGCTCTCTGATGTAGCTGTTGGTGTGTGTTTACATAGAGAGGAGTGATGTGGTTTGATTTAGTGCTCTCATAAATCCTTCTGAGCAAGTCAGGCTGCATTTCCACGGCAGCTGAGCCAAAGTACGAGCTTCAGTGCTCTGAACAGGGCGAGGGCTCTCTTCTCCCTCGCTCCTCTCTGCTCTTCCTTCCCCGGCTTCCTTCTCTCCTCTGTCACCTCCAGGAATCGTTGCATGTTTCGGTGAACCAATGTAGCCCACAAAATGGCAAACAAAAATTTTTTTGCCTTTTTTGTTTTGAACTTTTTGTTAAGGTGTTGGGTTTTTGGGGTTTTGTTTTGGTTTGGTTTTTTAACTTGTTAAATATTGAGTTAAATAGGTTCATGGAAGGGGTCAAAGAAATGCCAGAGCATAGTGAAAATAAGTAGTGTTGCTAGAAGGGGTGGAGAGGACAGGATCCTCCCTTACAACAGCAGTGAACTATCATAGATTCACCAATTATCAGACAACTGCACCCATGCAGGATATTCTTCTTTTTTTTGATGAGCTTTAAAAAATTTGGAATTTAGATTTCCACTCTGCATCCCCTGGTGTTAAAGCTTTAGGTGCTTTATTGCATTTTGAACAAGCAGAGAGAGTAAAACACCTGGCAGTGTTATCTCTGTTTGTACTACCCTCCCTTGTAGGGAGGCCCGAGGATTTATCCAACTTTCGATGAAGCAGCTATGATTTTTCTTGCTCTCTCAATAGTAAAATGAACCAGGTGCCAAGAGAGGTGTGTAGCAGTACGTGTTTGGGCTAAGCCCATTCCTGAGCATTTGTTCCCCTGCTCCGTGTGGGAGAAGGCTGCTGCTTTGGAATGCTTGGTCCTGCAGGCTGTTTGGCTCTTGTCCCCTTTAAGGACTGTTGTCAGGGATGCCTTGTGCACCCCTCTGCTTGGTGAGTGCAATACAAAGATTACTAGGTCTCTAAGAAGATTAGTCAGTAGGCTATAGGTCCTGTTATGCCGAAACACTGCCTCCGCATAAATTAAAGCAAATGAACACAGTTTATTTCAGAATATTTTTGCCTGTTGAGCTCCGTTTTAGTTCAGACAGAGAGGGGAAAAAACATTTAATTGGTTAAATGGAGAGAACGGAGCAAAAGTGTCGTAGTGTTTTTTAAATTGTGGCTGATATATAGTAAGCGAGGTAAGATTCCTGTAATGAGCTAATCTAACAAACAGCTGCCAATACAGTACAGTCACAGTTATCCAGCTGCTGTCATACGAGGTGCCGAGTAACTTTGGATATTAGAGGTTACAGATACTGGGGTGATAGTAACCTGATTAGAGAGCAAGAACATTTGCATAACTGAGAAATACATGATGAATGGATCAACAGTATGCCAATATGAATCTTTCTTTGGGTAAAAGAGACTTCAGCTTCAAGAAGGAAGTGCAAATTGTATTATGAAAACGCAAGAGTAGATCATCAGTGGTTTTCCTGAGATAGAAAAGACTGAATAAAGCTTTTCAGCCTATGATGTAGCTTACCAAGAGGTCACTTGAGAGTGTTTGTTTAAAAAGGTAGACAAAGATTAGAGACTGTCTCTGTATGCTTTAAATTCTGTATGCTTCAAATTGCAAAGACATGTAGGTTACAGTAGCACCAAATAAGTACACCCAGTTGTGATTAGAGATGATGGTTAATGGTTTGGAAATGAATTGTGGAAACAGTGACCTAAGAATAACTATTCAAACTACTTTGTTTCCTGCTTTTAGAAAAAATACAAATTTCCACTTAGAGAGTTTGTTACAAAATGTACCTATTGGCTCTCCTCCTGCACTTACTTCTGTTCTTAATCTGTTTGTAAAATAGGTGTTTATGGCATCTTCTTCTGACTGAACTGAGTGGGACTGCAATATATCCACTAAAACCTTGCAATGAGCTTAGACCCTGGAGCTTGCTGTTACTTCAGATGAACGCAGTGTTACAGTGTTCTCTCTGAAAGTGTGTGATGACAAATTTCAGCATGTCTCATCTCCCTTAAGTTTTACCAGTGCATAAGATACCTACCTATGTAGAAATTGTTACAGCACATAAAAGGTTTGGTAAAAAGCATCAGGGGAAAGCATTAGCTTTCTGCTTATGAAGGCAGAGCTGCATCCTGAACTTCATAAGTGACACTATCAAATGCCAATGAACTGCTCACTTCAGCTTTGTTAATTAAAAATCTTTAACTATTTTCCATCAAGGGTCAGAGATGGCCTGACACTCATCTTTACGTAATTCTATACTTGCAATCAATCACTCTTGATTGATTTCTTTGATAGGGAAATATATATCTGGCCATCTGTGTTTTTTCAGAGAAAAAGAGAAATCTTTCTAGAATGAGAACTGGGAAGGGGGGAATGAATGGCTTCATTCTAAACCACTGCTCCCTGCCAAAATCTGTTGGAATGGAAGAATGCGACTTTGTCCTTTCCCAGCTTTCACTAGTGCAGTGACCAGACCTGACAAAAGAGAGCAAACAGCTCTTAGATACACTGACGCTCCGCTTTCATCAGCTTCTGAAGTGAAATGAACAATAAAAAGTTCACCCTGTTTGCCTGTGTTCGAAGTCTGCTCCAGAGTCAGAAATGCAAGGGCGTGAGGGTTTTCTTTTTCTGAATTTGTTGTGATCTGTAAACATGTGGAAGTTGCTCCAAAATGTGTCTGTGTTAGATTCCGTCTCCCTGCACAGTGGCACCAGGAATGCTGCTCAAAAGCACAAAGGATGGGGATCGCGTGCCCTGCTGCTGCCTTTAATCTTTCCTTCTCTTTTTACATCGCTGCCTAGCTCCATATTTTGATTGAAGAATAGAGTACAAATACAGTTTGTCTAGTACATGGAAACAATAATAATTTGTAACAAGGTAGAATATTGACAAACCCCAGCAGCTTTGCTCTTTTATGTGAAATGTCTTGTAAATGAGACATCTTGAGGCGTTATCAGGTGCCAAATGCTTTCTCCTCTAGCTACATGCTCTTTCCATTAAAAAACCCAGTAAAATGCCAATGCTTTTTTCAAGCATAAAATAGAAAGGACTGAGAAAAATATGTCTTTAATATTGATGGAAATATTTCTTTGGTGGTATAGAACTTTTACTTGATTACATTAAAGTATTTCTTAATAGTACTAAACTTTTCAAAAGTTGGGAATCTAATTGTTAATAGACTAGAGTGACCTAATTAAACTGGTTGTTCAGGTGGAGGAAGCTGAGAGGAAGTTAAACCACATAGTGGTGCTTAAAGCACCAGTGTACTGATGTGCTCAGTTAAAATAATCAGATGTACTATATCGCTGGTACTGAAATAATGCATTAGAAATTCTGTGCAGGGACTGTTACATAGAGCATCTGGTTCAGTGAGGTCCACTATAAGGATTTAAGGATTGTCACAGTTGGGTACTGCGACTGTACAAATAATAACAATTCAGTTTTAATTATTCCCGACTTTTGGCAATTCCAGCAGCTTCTCTAAAATAAAAACACTTAAATGTTTAATAATTAGTTGTTTTGTTAGTCTTCATGAATTATGTGAATGTGTATCTCTTAATATCTGCTAGCAATAGTCATTAGCAACACTGGTTATTGGTCCTCATACCTTTTTATGTTGACAGTGACCCTTGAATATTTTGCAAAGTTCATTGCTAACTGGGGTCAAAATTTTAAAACGGTTTGTCCTTTAGATAGTCTCGTAAGTTCCTATTTGGATACCCTGAAAGGTGATTTAGAGGGAGACAAGAAAAGGAAATGTTTTTCCCCTCTCTAAAGACCAAATACATAGAATTTCTCACTAGTGTTTCCAGTGAACGAAAAAAGCTGAAAGTGGATGGAGAGCTGTGTGGGGGACAGGTAGTCACCTCTTTTTAACTTCTTTCCCCTGCTCTCTCTCTATGCGACGGGCTTCATTCCTTCTGGGCACGCTGCAGTTCGTGCAAGTAGGAGTGCGGCAGGATTGTGCCTGCTCCGGGGTGTGTTGCAGGAACGCAGCGCTTGCCTCCAGGAAAGAGCCTGCCTTAGCCAGCAACGGTGGCATATGGTGAGGAAAGCAGGACTCTGTCTCCCCCTGCTGAGTCATACCCTGAGAAGAAAGATCACAAGGTTTAGTTTCCACTCAGTTAATTAACTTCTGTCACTAATCAAACAGCAATTAGTAGATTGAATGCTTAATTAACATTTTATAATTAAGAAATGCAATTCACATAATGAAATATACTGTAGTGAAAGGTATCTCATTTTTAATTGTCTTCATTATGTATCTGGCTGCCAGTTTGCTCTGATATAATCAGTGATGGGAGAGGTAGCTAATAGCACATTAAACTGTTGTTCTAATTTGTAAGTGGATTTTAAGGTAAAAATCTTCCCAACTTGCATTTGAGAGTAAATTATCAACTTATAGTTAGGCTATACTGATGTGATATAATATGATGGCTGCTATATTGATCTCTTATCTAAACTAGGCTGCAAATTTAGGGTCCACTTCAATTCTTGCACGCTGTATTTTTAGCACAGCACTTTGCATCTCTGCTTTTAAGCATTGTGCTTTTTTACTTTATGTTTTGCTGTGACTTTACAACTGAGCTCCAAAACAAAGGAAAAAATTGCTTTTTCATTTCAGTATAAATCTGCTGACTTTCCTCTCACTCAGAGCCTTGTTGTTATTTAGAGATGTTAATAAACTTCAGCCCAGACTTTTCCATGTGGGAATTGCTTCTAATAAAGATGTTTTTCATGTCTAGGATGAAGTGGTAAAGTTGACAGATAAATGTCTTAACAATGCAATTGAGAGCCCAATCGCAGCAGCAACGTGGCTTCCAGCAGATATCAAAAGCAATATCCTGAAGGCCCAGGCAGAAGCAGGGCACAAGGTAAATACTCAACTGATAAGGACTGTGACATTCTCGAATGTTTTATTTCTCTTCAGTTGCCTGGTGTTGGAGAAGGTGCCTTGCAAGATAAGGGTGCTCCAAGAGCCGAAGTCCAAGGTAGAATAAGAGAGACTTTCAGCCTTTCTTCACAATAATAGTACTGGAGAGGTTGCCCAGGGAGGAATCTCCATCCTTGATGATACTCAACATGTAACTGGACAAGGCCCTGAACGAGCCCTGGTTTGAGTGGTTATTGAGCCAGATAACCTCCAAATGTTGCCTTCTAACCAAGAAATTATTCTGTGATTCTGTGACTAAGACTATGCTTCTAGCATGTTCTAGTAAATTCTGTAGCAAATAATGGTATTTTATTTGGCTATGTTGGGGAATATTTTTATTTCTGTATGGAAGTTTTCACATAGAATTGATGTTTTAAGTCCCTGAGCAGTAGATGAACAGCACACTTTTGTGCTGGGAGGGAGGCGCTTGGCTCTTCTGTGAATCTCAGAACTAACACAAGATGGAAACAGATATTAGAAATTTATATGTTTGTTCATTTTTTCCTCTCAGGTCGTAAGAGAAGACAGCCTGACAAGTGTAAAGAATTCCAATATTCAGGATGCTGCTGCCAGGTACTGAATAGATTTGGCAGAAACATGTGATCTAGTTATCCAAGTACAGCACTGAGAACCTGCAGTTCAGTGTGGTCTTTCAGTGGCTCAGTGGTCATCGCATTTTACTGTGTATAGTGTAGCTTAACCTGGTGAGTGTGAAGTTTTTTTAAGATGAAAACCAGCAAGCACTGTAGTTGCTGAGTTTTATTATATGCAAGGTAATCCAGATACTCTTTATTCTCCCATACTTTAATTTGATAAACATTGTTCCAACAGCAGCTTCAATCACTATAGTTATTTCTGACCTGTGAACAACTTCAGTGTGGGGAGAGGGGATGGGCCTGTTTACAGTAGCTGTTTTCTAGTGGAGAAAAAAAAATTGTGTACAAAAACCTGACACTGACAGTTGATTTCTTGAGAATTACTGAAACTCAAATGATTGCTAGTTCCACTGGGATTTCAGGCATTGAAAAAGTTAAAGGGTTACAGCATGTAATTTCTTGACCGTTTGTGAAGATGAGCATGTGTCAGACCTCAAAGAGCACATGGGGATATTGTACATGTAGCGATCTCAAAAATATGCTGTAACAAGTGATTCATGAAGAGCTTTCCGTGGAAGGTTGTACCTGGTTTTTGTTTTGTTTTGCTTTTTGTTGTTTTGTGCCAGGAACATTCTCTCGTCAGGCAAAACACAGAGTAGTCCCCCAGCAACCAGTCCAGTATTTCAAGACCCAAGAGAGCTGCTGAAAGCAATCCCTGCCTCAAATGCCTTTGTTCTGTAAGTGATTCAGGAGAAATGTGTTTCTGGGGTAAGGGAACCACATGGAGATTATCATGAACAGGTCTGAAAAGATGAGGAACAGTTGCTGAGCATTTAGGCTACATCTAACTAAGCAGGTTTACTGATGCATCTTTAATTACTGCTGCAACAGTTAATCAGTGTAGGCCAGGCCTCAAGGTGAGGATCCTAGCAAGCAGTAAGCAAATCTCTCATCTTCTGAAACAACTGAAATATCTGACATCCTGCTGCCCCTGGCTCTAAAGAGGAAGATAAGAGGAAGGGAAGGGAGGGCTTCAGGCGAATTAGAAACAAGGGCTGAAGAAGCTCCTTTGAGATAGAAGACATTGATACTGTTGGGTCCATACACAGCTGTAGCTGAAACTATGAAAGAGAGTAGTAATCTGCAGAGGTAGTTGGAAGGCATTTATTTCAACATACTCACAAACATCAGTCTTTTGTCTGCCTCACACGGAACTGGTGTCGAGTTTTTGGGTTGAGCTATCAGGGAAGCAGCAGTCTTTCATGCTATCCAGGCCTTCTGCTGATGAGAATGTTTTCTTCTTTCAGTAATGCATTAAATGAGGACAGCACTGCCTCTAACCACGAGGACCTGCTGATTCCAGCTAGTCTGGCTCCAGCTGAGGAGGCTCCTGTTTCAAAGGTATTGCCACCTGCCAGCCTGAAAGATTTCTTTGTGTCACGTTCTGAGCTACTGATGCCTCCAGGCAAGCACAGCAGACCTTGCTGCATGCCTCTCATAACTCAATGAATACGAGTCATTGGTGAATGCTAAAGAGTGCTTTCTGGAGCAGACAGGGACACTGATCTCTCCAAAGGCCATTCCTGTGTGTCCTTTCAGGTTCTTTGCCTGACACTTATTTATCTAAACTGATTGTTTTCCTCACACTGGTGGGGAGCCCCTTATATTCCTGTGATTTGATGCTCCAGGAAAGAGACTGCAGGGATGAAATTCTGACATAGGCAATTCCTATCAAAGTAACCACAGAGGGAAAAGTTTAAATTGAAATGTTTAATTATTGTATTCTGGTTACCTCAAGGATAAGGTAATTTTTAACTGGACTCCATGAAATGCACATTGTAATTCAGGGGTAAACTTTCCTTTGTCCCTCTCCAAAAGAAAAGAGGAGTCCAGCATTGGATTCTGTTGTTACTTCAGCAGACTGAGGGGTTATTCTGGATCACTAAAGCACCATGCCCTTTAGCTGTTGTCCCTCTAAACCAGTATTATGTAGTTGCTCCCACTGAATAATTATCAATTTAATCTTCTGAGTTCAAATACTCAGCTCACAGATCTTGCTGACCTTCTTGTCGAATGGCACAGTACCCCATCTTCACATAGGAGAATGGGACAGTTTCACAGCTTACATGGCAATGACATTGTTTCCAGTATGTTGATGAGAGTAAGTGAAATGAAAAGGCTATTAAAAAAGATCATATGGAAGGATTTGAGAAAAGAGACCTGATAAACAGTGGTGTTCATTAAGGACACTAGTCTATGACTTGGGAAGCCACTAGAGTATTCAGCAGACCTATCTGCTACTACTGGGAATTCAATTCAAAACTGATTTATTCCATAGAGCACTCCAGATGACCAGGACGTTTCCTTAACATCATTGACAGAGAATCTAATTGACTTTACAGAAGCCACACCTCGGGTAAATGTATTTCAAAACCAAACTTCTTCCTTCACACGTACAGTGGTTTTTACTCATAAACTCTCCTCTGGCTTTAGTATCTGTCCACCAGGCTTGGATCTGCTGCAGTAGAGTGAAGCAATGGTTGACCTGGATCACTGCATATGTGCCCCCCCTACTTGAAGAGTGGCTGGCATAGGGTTGTAGACCCTACAGCTTTGTAATGGAAGTGAAGGAACCTGAAGAGTTAACTTGTATCTGTGCCACAAGAGCCTGTAGTCTTATTTTAGTACACCTGCAAGTGCCAGCCTGCTTCTCAGGCTTTTTGGTATATATAATACTTCAGAAATTATACGTAAATGTGTATATACACACACAGACATATGTGTGTGTGTGTGTGTATATATATATATAGAAAAAAAAAAAACTTGAAAAATAAACTTTTAATACAAATCAACCCTTTTATATAGGTAAAAAGAATCTCTTATAATTTGTGCTGGCGAAAAAGGAGTTACATCGCATGCACCAAGAAAAAGGGGAAACTGTTCACAGATGTGTGCTCTCAGTTAACTTTGTCCACAAAGCAGAAAAAAATAATGAGTTCACTTGCCTTTTGGAAGGGAGCACTATGCTGAAACTGCGACCAGTGAGTTTCTGTGAGTGAGTGGGTGTTAGCTGTATGCTGTGTGGGTGCCATTGACTTTTGGGTATGAAGTCACATCATCTGTAGCTAATCACTAGCATCATTCAAAGACTAGCGATGGACAAATATCTGAGATCGTTTTGGGAGGCAATATTGTTTTGAGAATGTTTGCAGCTACTTCCAACCTTTTCTAATGAGCATTTGTTTGCTTTTTGTAGGTGTCTTCCCAGCCCACGATAACACCGAGGTGGATAGTGCCAGTGAGTTATTTGATCATTCCTTAACAACAACAAAAAAAGAAAAAAAGAAAACTCTTGTCATGATTAAGAAACAGGAGCTCAAGTAAAATAGTAAAATATAATAATTTGTAATAATGTGAAAGCCCATAAAATAATGTACCAGATCAAAAATAAAGCAAACTAATTCAGCTGGAGTAAATCAAACAACATACATATCCTGTTAATATTTAAACTTCATTTTTGCTGCGTTACATTGCAGGTAAATGCCATAAAGTTTCTTTAAGAACTTGCATTTAGTGAAGCCCACTCTGGAACTTGATGAAACCTAGTTTTTACTGTTATAAATGAATCATATTGAAAAATTTGCTTGTCTTGTCATGGTGGCAGGTTTTTATTTCAGTTTCCTGTTTCATTCTCCCCAATTCAGACTGGAGTGATTTCCAATGGGCCTTTGGGAAATGATGTTGCCTTAGCTATGAAGGCAGTGAAAGGCAGCACGGAGGCTCTGTTGTCATCAGCTGGATTGCCACCATCCCAGCAGATATCCGAAGTCCTTGCAAGGTAAGGTCTCCTCAGCACTCACTTTGAAAGTCTGTATGGGGTGGAAAGGAACTATGTGCTCCTACTGCTTCTACTTGAATAGTTATAGTGGTCATTTAGACACAGTGCCTCGTTTTGCTGTGTCTATAAACTATAGCTCTGTCTGACTTTATAGCATTTTAAATCTTATAAATAAATAGAGCAGCTGATGTGTATATTTTTATATAACATTGTTTGAAGGGTAAGAAAACTTTTTTTTTTAATTCAAGTAAGTAAAGGAACACAGCATACAAATTTAGCTGGAGTTGGAGGTAAACCTGTTGTCATTGTAAGTGCTATAAAATTGATTAATTCTTTTTAATTATCATTTCACTTCATTTTCTTTCCTTATTTGCTAACATGTTTTAGTACTGGACTAAAATTATGGTACAGATGAATTTTCTGAGAAATCTCTTTACAGTGTTTCAGTACCTGTCAGAGGATTGGCAGGGGCAGGGGGGGATGTCCCCCAGTTATTTCCAAGCTGTAAGGAAGTCAGAGAACAGAATCTGTAGAAACCTTTCCCATTCCATTCTGCCGTGCTGGTGAGGCAGAATGATGGCAGTGATGATCAGGCCTTTCAGCGAACCTCTTACAGTGCGGATGCGGATGGCAATGATGCTACTGCTGCACTGTGTGAAATTGAGTGTTTGCTCTTCTGCAGTTGTCTGTTGGAAAGGTTTGTCCATTGGTCTCATTAAATTACAAGGGGAACAGCTATTAATGCTCTTTGGAACAATACTCATCTTTTTCTCTTTTAAACCATCATAGCAGATATTTTTGGAGGAGTGTATTTACAGGGCCTCTTTTTTTTTTTTTTCTTCCCCCTTTTAGCCCAGTTACTGAGGATGCTACAATAAGAACGAAATGTTTACTCACTACTGAACTCTAGAAGAAGGAGTTTCTGCACTTCCCAGCTTGTAAAAACTTAGTCTTCTAACATATGTTCAAGGGATCCTTCCGAAAGACTTGCTTGGGATCAAACTCTTGCTGAACAGGAGTCAAACAGCCAGCTGGTTTGCTAGGATCCAGGAAGAGACTTCTACATTTATTGCAATCTAACTGGAATTACAGTCTAAACCGGGATATAAAACCACATGCACATTTGATCTTCTCCCTCAGGAGAAGTGAAATACCACACTGGAACTAGTTCTGAACATGAGGAAGAGAATCTAGTTGCGTTCCGCTCACGCTAGGTTTAGTCTTACCCTGTGCTGCCTCTCATGCGTTAATGGAAAGCGTTCACTGTGATGTTAGCTATGTAGTGTATGAGCACGGTATCCCTGACCTCTGTAGAGTAGTATTGGAAACATTAGGAGAACTTGCAGGGCCACCTTGTGGCCAGACTATGTACGGTGGCTCACAGTAGTGATGACTGTTTCATATGGCCAAGGACATTTTCTTCTGTGTGATTATTCCCTCTGTTTTTCCTTTGTTTTACCAACACATACTCTCCTTTTTGGCCTTAAACCCCTTCATAATCCTTGCACCTCTTGTTATAGTACCTGGAAAGAATTAAAATCTAGTCCATCAGTGATCAACTACGTTTACTGGATTTGAGCTGCTCGTTACAACCAGGAAAAGGAAAATTAACCTGCCAAACAGCTTATAGCATTAGCAGACTGCAGCAGAGGTCCCACATTTTGACACTGGTTATTTCATTTCCTGTATGGCTCAAATACATGCATTTTAGGCTAAAGATATGTATGTTTTAAATGCTGAAGCAGTGAAGGTAGGAGTACAGCTTACTTCAGGAACTGCTTATTGGTTAGTTTTGTTGTTATATAGGACTAGGAAGGAAAAGAATTTTCTTGTTTCTATTCATGCTGTTTCTGGTTGTTGTTTCCAGATGCTGTGCTTTGGGAATACTTAGCAGGTGTGTTAGTGGCATGAGGGTAGAACTAGATCAGTTCTTAACACCACCTCAAATCCTGTTCCAAGTGTCATCCAATAGTTGTATGTGGAACAAAGAATAGAAAGAATAAGGTGAAAACAGGAAAAAAAGATGAAAAGTTCCTGTAAGCAGTTCACTTCTTTGTAGAAGGAAGGTAGGAGCACTTGCAAGAGCACGCTCCACAGAGCTGGTGAAGGCCGTTCAGTGCTCAGGTGAAGTACAGGATACAGTATGTAAGAGATCATTTGAGTCCTGGGCAGCAGGATCCTCATGTGGACATGTAGAGGTGAGCCCATGGACCCTGGGGATACAGCCTGTGAAAAAGGTCAATGCAGGGTCAGAGGGGGGAGAAATACAGAAGCCCGATGATGAACTCCACATCTCCTAACAGGGAAGCACAGATGAAACAACAGGGATCTTCCTTTCTTAGGAAGAGGTTTGTACGTATGACTGGGGCTGGAGGATGTTTTCTGCATAGTGCTGCTGTTTATAAATATTTATATACGTGTCGTTCTTAGAAACAATTTTAAATGTGAAAGTTGTTTCTGAGACCTGTATGCACAACTTCAGTTCTGCACACCGGCTGCATGCACGTCTCTCAGTGTAGACAAAGATTTGGACCAAACCACCGTGGGTTGTGCAAGCAAGCTGGTGCCCCGCTAGGCTGCTTCTTTTGGACTAGAGCGTTCTTACTGCTGCTTTTGTGCTTGTTTGCAAGATGCTGAATGAGAGCGTTAAGGAAGAAGCCACGTGGCATTTATGTGGCCCACTGCCACTCCTCAAAACCCCCGAGGCCTTAATAGAGAGGCATGGGGAGCTCTTAGGACTGACATACCAGAGCGACTCTCTGCAGACAATGATTTGCAGCCATTGCCTCAAGAACCGGGAGTCAAAATTGGTAGCAGGCGCTTCAGGTCCCCCCTCCAGCCAGCGCCTAAAGCGCTGCACGGCAGGCTCCCCGCACTGCCAGCCAGAGGGGAGCTGCTGTTCTGGACCTGTGCAGTGTTTCTGCTCACCAGCCGTTCAGCTCTGTCATTGTTGCTTCCAGTTGAGTATTGGCTTTTTTTATACTTTTAAGTCTGAGCCTTATTGCATACTAAAATGTAGAAGGTTCCCGATTCAAATATCAAATGTCTTAGTCTGGATTAATAATACAGTTGCCAGCAAAGTTCCTGCAGGAAAAGGGAAGCTATGGCTGCAACAGTCTGCTTCCTGCACAAAGCCAGGACTGTGTGGGGAAACTTGGCACTTGCTGTTGATCTGTTTGCTCAGCAGCTGAGCTGGCGTTCGCCAGCTACATGTGTTGGTTTTGTAAATAGACAGAATGCAGTAGCTTTTTCTTTAAGGCATGCTTGATATTTGACTCGTCCCATTGGGTTTAGGAGCTCTGTGAACTGGTAGCTTGAATCCCTCCCAAAAGTAGAATACCAAGCTTACAGTTTTACAGCATTGCATGTTGAATACCATCCTTAGGTTCCTCCCGCGCAATCACATACAGCAAGTAACAAGTAAATAAAATGTGTGGTGAGTGTGTCCCCCTAAAATCTAAGTGGTTCCAAGTAGCCAACTGTTATTTCAGCATGGGCGGGATAGCGGTGATTGGAGGGGGATGTTGTATTTACACGCATGTGCACGCACACGAAAATTTCAAAGGGGCAAGGTTTTCCTCAATTTTCAGAGGACTAATACTTGAAACTTTATTTAAAAATTCAAAATTTTCAACTGTTAAATTGGGGACTTGCAATTTCTAGTAGATTTGGGACTGCAAACCCAACTCTTTACAGTGACATGTAATACTTGGAGCAAATATTCACTCCATTTAACTCAACATAGCTTATTATTCCAAATTGTTTATATAGGGAGCCTGGCGAGTCTAAGGCACCACAGTTACGTGATCTGAACAGACACATAGGCAGGTATCTGAACATCCTGTAGTTTTGCATCACTGCTTTGCTTTAAAATGATAGATGTCATGTTGTGTCATGACTGGCTAACAGGTGACGTAGCATTACTCATCACCTGCATTTTATCAGACACAAATAGGTGTAATAGTTCCTACAGTTAGTGTTATAAAGTATTAATTAATGCATGTGTGACGCTGAGAAAAAGGGATTTTCTTACCATTGCTATACTATTGATTGATTGGCTGTAAGGTCCGATCATCCTCTAAAAGTTTATTTTTTGGTATTTATTTAAAGAGATTTATAAATAAAACCTTTTTGTGAATCTGGTGTTGGGATGTTGGCAGGTGTGCCAACCACTTAAAAGCTGTAAGAGTTGACAGGAATGAATAAATGCACATTCTGTTGCAGTCATTTGGAAAAAGCCAGCTCCCTGATTTAAAAAAAAAAAAGTTCAAAATTTTTTCCTAACAAAGTTATCCCCTGTTGACTTATCAATGCCTGTCCCAGCCTGTACTCGTTAACTGGCCTTGCACCCTCTTGCTGTGTGTGCGTGTAATGCTGATCAGAGATGGAGGCTTTTTAACTCTATAATTAAAAAATGATAACTTATACTAAAAACATAAGTGATTGGATCTAAAAGTAAAAGCGCTTTTACTCCAGTTACACTCCATAAGTGAGTGATTAGAGTAAAAGATTTTATGGAAATCTTAACATTTATAATAACAAAACCCCCCCACCCCCTATCTCAAACTGATTAATCTTGGGAGATGCTGGACCTTACAACTGCGTTTCAGTCTCACCCATCTAGTCCAACAGGAAGAGACCAGAGAGTCCGCAGGTGCTGACGACACGGCAATGGTCTTACAAGCTTTTGGAATGGGTATTAAAATGTGGGAGTTCAGGCCCTCTTACACTTGAATTAAGGGAATCTATTCTTTACTTCGGTGGTAATAGGGTTTAATATTAGGTAAGTCATATGACATAAAATAACTAGTTACCTGGTAATCAGTCATGGTTAATAAATTAGCTTGAATGTGTTCGATTTTAAGCTTAAATTCCACATATACTTTGTCAAAGACGGATGGCGGTGTAAAAGCTATGTTTTGGACAATTTTTTGGACACAACTTTGGCAAGAAAATTTTCAGCACCATTAGGAGGAGCTCAGGTGAGCAGTCCAGTTACATCTGGGTCTCTTTCCACAAACTATTTTCAGCCCTTGCCTGTTACCCCTTTGCCTGCACCTGGCTCATTCTCGTTTCTTGAAGCAACGGTGTACTGTTAAAATCAGCATCTCCTTCACAGACAGCACTGGATATATTTTTCACGTTGTGAACATGCCCTGGTACAACCCACATCTACAGATGAAGTGTTAGCAGCTCTATTTCACGGCCAGCTAGCGTTTAAAGCTCTATCTGGGCACATAAAGTGTTTGTTAGTCTAGAAAGTTGTAGTAAAATTACATAGCTGTTAGACATGGTAACATCACAGCTTTCAAATGCAGCTGGACAATCGTAACTTTTATACCAAAAAACCAAAATAATCCATGCTAATGGCCTTTGTGATGCAGGTGTAATCGGGTGTTTGGTCTGAGTGTTAGCACCGTAGACATAAGTACAGGGCCCTCCCCACCACCCTCAAATGGAGGTGGGAGTTGGTGCGATTTCATTAAGTGCTGCGCTCTCTGGTCGCGGTGTTCAGGAGGGAGATCCAAGCGGATCCGAGCACAGCCTGTTGAAAGCCAGGATCTGTCGCTCGGCGTTGCGCGTGGTTGTGTGTGCCCGCTGGAAATGAGGAGTGGGTGCTCACCCGGCAGCGATGTCAGACCCTACGCCGCAAGGAGCCGCAGGGTTCTCCTACAAAGTTTGCCTCCTTTTAGTGTTTGGCTTGAGCACTCTGCTTCGTAAACACACACACCCCTACCTATAACTGGACAAACTTATTTTTAAAGTATGTAAGAATATTTTTTTAGCTAGATTTTTTTTTGTTAAAGCGACACTAACTACTGTATTTTTACCTTTTATATGTAAAGCTTGGCAATAGCTCTCAATGTATAATTTATTTGTTGTTTTTTTATAAAACAAAGTGCACCCTCT